AAAAATTATTAATCGAACAAAGTTCGGTTAATTTATCGATGATCGAATTAACCGAAATATTTTATAAATACTTTTAGTTAGATTAATTTGAGTCTAATAGATGTAATTTTTTTTTCATTTGGGTTAAATTTGGATTGGGTCTTGAAAGTATAATAGGTAGTATGACTAAAAAATAATTTGGTCTTAATTCTTAACGGATTTGAGCTTTAAATATATATATATATATATATATATATATATATATATATATATATATATTATATAATATATATATATATATATATATATAATATTAATATTTCCTATTAATTAACTTATTTTGAACTAAAATAACCAATAATTAAGCTTTAAAAAAAATCAATCGTTTCGATTTAACATCTAATTAACCACTGATTAATTGAACTAAATTTGTTTCAATCGATTAATTCGGTTTAAAACCGAATAATGAACACTCTCATACTCTTAAAACCATTAAGAAATATTTACGACAAACCAAGTTTCTTACTACTCATCGGGTACTTTGAGGTTGTAAGTCGCAACTATCACTTATTTTTACTTTCATAGAGAGGTGAAGAGCATAGATATGTACCTCTTACCTTCTGTTACCTTCTATGTAGGGAGTGTACGATTATTTTAAAGGATGTTTCACTCTAGTTAGATCTCCTACGAATGAATATGTTTTGATTAACTCGTGTCTAGTGGTCAAGTAATAAATAAAATACTTTTACAAGGGAAGATTCAAAGGTAGACACCTATATATCATATGAAATATTGAATATATTTCTATCACTACATCGGTCATTGAGTTTTGTTAATCTATCAGTTTCATTCATGTGATGGATTGTTGGAAAATAATTGAATTTTTGGAACTTTGAGGCATATTATTTATTGGTAAAATTGAAGTTTTGAATAATACAATTATGGTTTTATATTCTACTTCATGAGACCTTTAAAATAATGTATAATATTCTCAAAATGGTTAAGTGAATAAATTTTTTACCAACTTATTTTCAAGAGAAGAGAAAATGAAAAGACAACAATTGAAAGATTAAATGTAATAATCGCATGCAGGTCAAGCGAATGGCTACAAGAATTAATTGTGAAAATTTAATATAAGAAAAACGCTTAACTTGTCTCTGAAACATCAAAAGACATAAATTTATTGGGGAAAAATATAAATGAGAAAACATTCAACAAGTCTTACTTAAGTTGATCAATCCACACATTTTGCATCGTCTATGTTATGTGAGTGTGCCGCTAACCCCAAGGGAGATTGATATTCACCTCATGCTCATGTATAAGAGGGGGCCTTTGACTTGCAATTTACTAATTAACATATTGGTTCTACTTTTTTTTCCTTCTTCTTTTTTCTATGTAATGTGTGATTTTTATTGAGAAAATGGTCAAATAAGATCACCTTGCGCCTCATTAAAAAAATCCTTCAATTAGAAGGAAAAAAAGAGCGCATAATGGTCATCTAAATTGCAAAAGAGAACCTATAAATAGACTTTTTTCATTATAAGATTGTTTTTTTTTTTTTTTTTGTAAGTGAATGGTGTGAAATAGTTTTTACTCCCTTACTTTAAGCATGTCATTTTCTTGTTTTCTATTTGTGGTTAAACTTTGCCTTTATATACTTCATTTATTTCATAAATAACCAACCAAAAAAACAAATTTAATTCAATTATTGTGGATTAACTTTTACATAAGATGGGCTCTTTTAATTGTTTCCCTTGTGATTGTTGTCTTGCATGTTCTTTTTATGAATGGTCATGCGATCTCTGAAAATACAGGAAACAGGAGAATTTTGACATTCGTTGGAGGAGCTGGAGCAGGAGGACAGGGAGGGGCTGGTGCTGGTTAATGGAGGTTTTGCTGGTGGCGCGGAGGGCATGGCGGCGGCGGTGCGGGTGGCGGTGTTGGTGGATCAGGTGGTGCTGGTATTGGTGGAGGTTTTAACTTTGGTATTGGAGGAGGATTCATGGAGGTGCCGGTGCTCAGGGGGGTGCAGGTGCCCATGGAGGAGCCGGTGCTCATGGAGGTGCAGGTGGTCATGGAGGAGGTGGAGTTGGGGGAGGTTACTGATGCACATTGCAAATAAAGAAAACCCAAGTACTACAATCTAAATACATATATTTACAATAAAACATGCTGGTTGTTCAGTTTCACATTTTATTTGGTGAAACACCGAAATAAGAGATTGTTATAGATTATTATGTGTGCATATACACATAAATAGAATAGGGTGTACGGTTTTAGTTTGTCACAAGCGTTAGCTTTCATCGCATAACTCATGCGTGAGTATTTTGGAAGTTGTTTTATGTATCTTCCAATATTAATGTCAATAATTTAAATTTTTGGTTTTCACTTGGTCTTAATCTGTATTGTTTTACTTCTTGTTTATGCATCTTTCATGTGCAAAGAGCTTTTCAAGGCATTCCAATTAGACAAGAAAGGTTATGTTCAATAACCTACATTTGATGACGATGCATCATATTCTTGAACAATGGCCGTGACTTTACGTGGCCTCCATTTATAGGAGTTATCAAATTTATTAATTCAATAATTCAAATCGAGTTTTGTCAAGGTCTATTATACTAGTGCTGGTGGAGTTGGCAAAATTAGTGGTGGTGCTGGTAAAAGTGTTTTATTCCATGTTTATGCCAAAGGTTGTGTTCAATTAACCTGCTTTTGATGACAATGAAAAATATTCTTAAACATGAGATTTTACGTTAAAAGAAAATGAATTTGAAAAATTATATAAAAAAATTCAAAACATACGAAATTATCAAATTTAAGGTGGTGTGAAATTGGAGTATTAATAGAAATTTTAGGGTATTTAAAATTCATGGAAGTGAAAAATTAGAAAATATAATGAAAATACTTAAATTATGAAAATTTAAAAATTTTAAGTGTCCGTTTGTTCGATTAGTTTGGGGTATTTAATTGGTGGCCGAATCGAAATAACCAAAAAATTTGTAATCGTTAATTGATCCTCTTTTTAAAAATATATTGATTGAATCGTATAATGTCTGACTAATTTGATCAAATTTCAAATTAACCATAATTTATTATAATTTTTAGTTTAGATTAATTTGGATTTTTTTCATATGGGTTAAAATTTAATTAGGTCTTAAAATTTTAGTGCGTTTAATGTGGTTAAAAATAGTTAGATTTTGCTTTTTAACGGACTTGGACTTCAATATATATATATATATATATATATTAAAATTTAATATTTTACTACTTTAGTTAATTAAACAATTTTGAATCGTATTAATTAATAATCAAATTTGAGAAAAATTAACTGCTAATCAATTTAATATCTAATTACCCGATTGATTAACAAAATTAAATTTATGTTTGGTTGGTTAATTTGGTTAAAACCTAATAATAGCATATTTAACTATGATTACCAATAGTATCATTTTCTAAAATTTTATAGGGTAAATTACAAATTACTCATTGAAGTTTATTCTCTTTTCTATTTCACTCATTATACTTTCATATTTTCAATTTACTCATTGAACTTGTGGATTGCTCCTTTTTGGTCACTATAAATTATTTATTTTATTTTGTATGCAGTCATTTATTGTTATTATTTAATGTAAAATATAAATTAAATCCAACTTTTCGTCGTCCATGTTCGTCGTCGTTGGACGTCGATGTCGATGGCCGTAGATGGTGGCCTTTCGGTCCTAGATTTCATCGACCTCGGCCCCTTGAGTTCGAATATGACCCCCCATTTTTTGGAACATGCTTCGAAGTCCACGAATAATAGATCAAAAAGTGAGGAAACGAAATGTTTCATCCAAGATTCGCAGGTTTTGGGACATTTTCCAGTAAAACAATCTCCAGATTCGGACTTAGTGTGTCAGAGTGAGTCTCCGTGTATAATTTGGGATCAAACGACCGTCGGTTCTGAAGATCGACAGTTATGACAACCCAACAAGAGACAATGATTATTTTAACTATTTTTAATTTTAAAATAATAAAATATTATTTATTTTAAATTATTTTATATTTACTAATACTTAAAAATGTCATGTCATAAAAATAATAAAATAACATAAGTGAAAAAATTCAATGTATAAAGTTTTTGTCAGCAATTTTGCCTAATTTTACATCAAAATTTTTATATTATTAACTGTTTTAGTATCTTTGAGCTCTAGCTGTTTCTAAATCAGTTAGTCATACTATCGTCTCGTTATTAATGATAGAATGATATAATTAAATATAAAATTAAAATTTAATATTATAATTGATTAAATTAAAATTTTAATGGTACAAATGAGTCAACGGACAAAATTCAATAATATCCGAAATATTTTTTCTTAGAAATTTATTAAATACCAACATAGTAATATTAATAACAGAAAAGAGTAATTTTTTTAAATAAATCTATGCCTTTAGCCTTTAGGAGGCCGATTTTGATTGTAGGTCAAATAAAATTGAAATAAAAATATTTATAACTTATAAAACTTAAAGATGATCTAGGTTTACCATCATCTAAGTTTACCTTGTAAATTCAAAATAATTTAAACTCAAAGAAATCTGAAAACTGAAAAAAAAATAGAGAAAATTCAAACTCGAAATAATGAGAGCCTATGATAATCCAAATTCTAAAATAAATTGAATCCGTAGATAACTCGATCTAAACCCACCCGAACCCGAACCCGAACCAAAATGATCATAAAGTTGCAGCACAACGCTGATAAAAAAGAGAGCCTCTTGTACGTGAGCTTGAACAACGGCTGGAGGAGTTAGAGGCTAAGGAACAGAAGGAAAATTGATATAGTTATTGCGGATCTGGTGTGAAACAGTTTCTTACTCCCTTACTTTAAGCTTATCCTTTTCTTAATTTTCTATATATGGCCAACTTTTGCATATATATACACTTCAATTTTTTCACAAATAACCAACCAAAAAAAATTCCTAAAGATTGAATTGATCTTCTATGATATTATAATTCAATTATTTTGGATTAACTTTTAGACAAAATGGGCTCTTTTAATTGTTTCGTTGTGCTTGTCGTCTTGCATGTTCTGAATGGCCATGCAATCTCTCAAAATGTAGGAAATAGGAGGTCTTTAACATTAATTGGAGGTGGAGCTGGAGCTGGTTTTGGAGGTGGAGCTAGTTTTGGAGGTGGAGTTGGAGGACGCGGAGGGATTGGTGGAAGTTGTGGTGGAGGTCTAGTTGGTGGCGCAAGTGGGCAAGGGGGAGCTGGTGGATCAGGATCTGCCGGTGCCGGTGTTGGCGGAGGTGGAGGTGTTGCTGGTGGGGCAAGATGGCAAGGTGGAGGTGGTGTAAGTAGCGGTATTGGTGGATCAGGAGCTACCGGTACTAGTGTTGGTGGAGGTGTTGCTGGTGGGGCAAAAGGACATGGTGGAGGTAGTGCAAGTGGTGGTGTTGGTGGATCAGGAGTTGCAGGTTCTGGTGCTAGTTTTGGTGTAGCTGGTGGGGCAAGAGGAGAAGGTGGGGGTGGTGCGAGTGCCCGTGCTGGTGCTGATGGAAATGTTAAGGTTGGCGGTGGAGTTAGTGGAGGTGTAACTGGTGGGGCAACAGGGCAGGGTGGAGGTGGTGCCACCGGTGGTGCTGGTGGATCAGGAGTTGCCAATGCTGGTGCAGATGGAGGCGGCAAGGTTGGTGGAGGTGTTGCTAGTGGGGTAGGATGGCAAGGTGGAGGTGGTGCAAGTAGCCGTGTTGGTGGATCAGGTGCTGCTAATGCGGGTGCTGGTGGAGGTGTTGCTGGTGGGGCAGGAGGACAAGGTGGAGGTGGTGCGAGTGGCGGTGTTGGCTTTGGTGGAGGTGCTCACTTTGGGATTAGAGGAGGATTTGGTGGAGGAGGAGGTGTAGGAGGCGGAGTTGGGGGAGGTTATTGATGCACCTTGCAAATAAACAAAACCCAATTACTACATTCTAATTACATATTTTTACAAATAACGAATGTCCGTGTTTTAGCTTCTCACAATAGTTAGCTTTCATGGCGTCAGAATTTTGGAGGTTGTTTTTATGTATCTTCATAATATTAATGTCAATAAATTTCTATTTGTCGCTTGGTCCTTATCTTTATTGTTTTATAAGAAAGGTTGTGTCCAATTAACCTACATTTTATGTGCTTTTATTTACAAGAAACGTTATTATGCTTCATCAAGAGTTATAATTATAAACATATACGACATCAGATAATAATACCCAAATTATGGGTCAAAGATTAGAAAATATCGTCTCTTCAAATGTTTTGATATTGAAATTAGATTTTCTTCGCAAGGTAGAAATTTATATTAAAAATAAAAAAGATTAAAAAAACCTATATTCTGATCAAAACCAGAATTAAGAACGTACCAATAGAAAGTACATATTGATGAAGGTAGCTTATAATCTTGTAATTAATAAAGACCAATTATGAGCTCAAAAGTTACGTTCCAAACATAAGTGGAATGTGGATATTCCTCGTTCGCTTGCACGAAGGAACTGTTCTCGCCTTTGTAAAGGCATTTCTATGGTTTGGAGTGAAGTGCGGCAAAATTTAGTGTGGAACATTGGCAATGGTTAGCGGGCTAATTTCTGGAATGATGAGTGGCTAAGCGATGTGGGGCCATTGATAAATCACGTTACAGATCGTTCGGTAGATGGTGCTCCTCCAAACATTAGTGTCTGGAAACGGTGACTGGAATTGGTTGTTGCTAGATAATTTGCTGCCTGATGATGTTTTGCTTTGGTTGAAAGCTACTATGCCTCCTGCTGCTACTGTTAGAGAAGATTGTTTGGGTTGGAGGGCTGATTGGAGGTTCACGGTTCGAACAGCGTATGATTTGCGTATGGGCGAGACTTTTATTAGTCCTCATCGTGTTTGGAAGGTAATTGCTAAATATCAGCAGATGTTGGCTTGTGAGAGAATCATCACCAACATTGAACGTTTCAGGCGACACATGGGCTCTGCTAAACGTTGTGGAGTTTGTGGAATGGAAGATGAGACTCTGGACCATCTGTTCAGGCGGTGTGCCTCGGCATTCACGATTTGGACTGGCTTGATTAGGAGCGATAAGCTTGCGGATTTCATGACTAGAGACCTTAAGGATTGGATTAGAATCAATTTATCTCTGCCTGATTTTTATGCCCAAGGTGATTCAAATTGGGATTTACTCTTTGGTGCCATTGTTCGGTCTATTTGGATCAAGTGTAATAAAAGAATCTTTGATCCCGATAATCTCGATGGAGAATCCATTCTGGATAGCAGCAAACGTCTACAAAGAGAAGCTTCCCTTGCCCTTAGCTCGGCTATGGTTTACTCCAGGAGCACTTCTCAAGGGAATCATAATGCTACAAGGTGGTCTCCTCCCCCTCAAAATTGGTGTAAATTAAATACCGATGGTGATCGGGATGGTATGGATGGGTTGGCTTCATGCGGAGGAGTCATCCGCTCCAGAAGGGGTGAGTGACTCTTTAGTTTGTCAAGGTCAATTGGAATATGTTCGGTTCTTGAAGCTGAACTGTGGGGTGTTCATGAGGGTCTACGCCATGCCTGGAATCTTGGCGAGCGAAGACTTGTATTGGAAGTTGACAGCACTGAGGCTGCCATGATCCTTAACCAGAAAAAGAAAACAGACTTCTCCTTTATATGATAGAATTGCGGAACTTCTGAATAGAGCTTGGAGTGTGTAAATTCGCCATGTCCATCGTAATGCTAATAAAGTTGCGGACAAGCTCGCAAAGTTGATCGCCCTTGAGGATACTGTTGCACATGAATTCCTTGAGCCTCCTTTAATGGTTTTGCCTTTTTTACAAGCAGATTGTAATGGTTCTGGGATAGAAGCCTGCTAAGCTTTCCATGCTCTTTCCTTTATTTACCAAAAAAAAATAAAATTGAAAACGTCCAACACACCCAACTCACCAACATACACGAGATGATATAATAACGAGACATAAATCCTAGCTACCAAAGACATCTTCTGAAAAAGACCACAAGCTGCCACAATCACACACATGACGATAAACCAAACCTACCCTCCTTGGATATGAAAGGTTACTGAAACTATCATAACTCAAACCGCAATTAAACATTAGGACAATACCATGAAAAGTCCGTAATTTTTAAATTCTACCATTGCCCAACTCTCATCCTTAAATGTTTTTTTTAAAACAAATATTTTATTTATTTTAAAATTCACATATAATATATATAAAATGGTCCCTATGGGATCCATACGAAGCTCACCCCTGAAACAAAAACAAATATGGCTAAATGATAGAGTCCCTTGCTAGAGAAACTATTATTTCTAATTTTTCTACTGATAATCTTTTAAATAAAAACCGAAAAAAGAACCATTATAACTAAGAGAATTTAAATAAACCTAGGAATAATATCAAAGAAACTCTACAATGCTGAAAAGGAAAACATCTATTCATACCCAACACGTACCAAAACTATCACGAGTATGCAATCAAAATAATCGAATCTGAACTGCCATAACTCCATACTTAAGATTTATTAAACTCTATTTCTCTGACAAACCAACAAATAAAAAACTAGCCCAGAGAACCCCATTCTTCACATGGTTCACAATATCACAAACCCCTAATCATATTATAACTCCAGAAAAGAAGTAATAGTGAAACTACAAAGAAGAAGCATTAACACACGATCCCAACAAGAGTTAAAGACAACTCACAACTCAAGGTTCATAGTAAACAATTTGAATATAAGTCAAGTAACAAGTCTTCTCGCAGTTTACTGAAGTCAAATCCATATGGACAATCCAAAAATATCAATAACCGAACCTTAGCGAACGGTGAACCCCACCGAATGAACCATTAGAATCAAAGAAGACTAAACAATCAGGGATAAATCTAAGGGAGTGAGTGAGGTAGTTATCCTCTTGAAAATTTCAAATTACTAAAATTTTAAAAGTTCATACCCCTAACATAAATTCATGCGTCCGCCCATGTGAACAACCAAGACTTGATGCACATATCGAATATAACACTATACTTCTTAAATTAGAATTTCTCTTCTATTCACTAGATCAAATTCTGAGAGGGAAGCCTCTGAAATTTCAATCTTCTGCTCGCCCTTACAATTTTTCTTACATTTTTAATCGCTCGATCTCTCTATTTTTCTCTAGATTTGAAAGCACCTTATTTTGAATCTCGGTCATGGAACCATAGTTTCTTGATCGATACACTTGAAGTTTGGGTAAAGGGACCAATTTCGGCACGATATCAATATCCGTGTATGCTTACAATCTGGAATCTTCATTAGGGAGAGGGGTAGAATTAAACTTGTCAATGCTGGCCTCCATGAGCTAACGCCTATTTTGATCAATATACATTGTGATACATGAACATTAATTTGATGCAATTATGCACATGAAATTTTATTTTTAGTTTATTTATACACATGAAACTTAATTTTGATTCAACTATAAACATTCTAAAAGTAAATATGTACATTCATTTAATTAACATAATTGTTTGTGTATGCAATATGTAAATGCAAAATGATGTTACATTGATAATAATTTTAACAAATTATGAGAATCGAATCAAGTCAAAACTCCGGTATATAATTATACAAAATCAAAATTCATGTATATAATCCTTAGCGGTGCTAGTGCTTCTAGCAATAATCAAGCTAAAGTTAGTGGAGGTGGTAGCGCTAGTGCTTATGGCCATGGTCAAACTATTGTTGCTGGAAGAGGCGGTGCTAGTGCTTCTAGCAATAGTCAAGCTAAAATTGGTGGAGGTGGTGGCTCTAGTGCTTCTGCTCATTGTCAAGCTATTGTTGGTGGAAGAGGCGGTGCTAATGCTTCTAGAAATAGTCAAGTTAAAGTTGGTGGCACTAGTGCTTCTGGCCATGGTCAAGCTATTGTTAGTGGAGAAGGCGGTGTTAGTGATTGTAGCAATAGTCAAGCTACAGTTGGTGGACATGGTGGTGCTAGTTCTACCGACAAGGATGAAGTCAAAATTGGTGGAAGGGGTGGTACTAGTGCTTCAAGCAATGGTCAAGCTAAAGTTGATGGACGTAGCAGTGCTAGTTCTACTAACAAGGGCGAATCCAAAATTAGTGGAAATGGAAGAACTAATTCTTCTGGTAGTAAAGCTAATGTTAGTAGAACTCGTGTCACAATTGGAGCAGAAGAGCACTATGAAACTACCTTTAAAGGAGGGGCTAAGGGTGCATTTGAAGGGAAAATAAGAGGAAAAGTGGGGGATAAATGTGGATTTAAAGGAAAAATAGGAGGACAAGTAGCAGTCGATGGAACTATTGGTGGAGGTGGTGGCACTAAACTTAATGCAAAGGGTGAAGTTAAAACTAGTGGAAGTGGTGCCACTAGTGCTTCTAGTTATGGTCAAGCTAATGTTAGTGGAAGGGATAATGTTAGTGTTTCTAGCAATGGTCAAGCTAAAGTTGATGGACGTGGTAGTGCTAGTTCTACTGACAATGGTGATGCCAAAACCATTGGAAAGGGAAGAACCAATGTTGGTAGAACTGGTGATACTAGTTCTACCAGGAAAGGTGAAGCTAAAATTGATCGAAGTGGTGGAACTAGTGCTTCTAATAGTGGTCAAGCTAATATTTGGGGTAAAAGGGCATGGTGAAACTACCTTTAAAAGAGGGGTCAAGGGTGCATTTGAAGGAAAAATAGAATGGCAAGTAGCGAGCAATGGAAATGTTGGGGGGGGGGGGGGGAGGTGGTGGAGCTAACCTTAATGCAAAGGGTAAAAAAACTAGTGGAAGTGGCATCGTTAGTTCTTCTGGCCATGGTCAAGCTAATGTTGGTGGAAAGGGAAGTGCTACTACTTCTACCAATGGTCAAGTTAAAGTTGGTAGGCATAGTAGTGCTAGTTCTACTGACAAGGGTGAAGCAAAAATTAGCGGAAATGAAAGAACTAGTGCTTTCGGTAGTGGTCAAGTTAATGTTCATAAAAGTAGCAGTGCTAGTTCTACTAGAAAGGGTGAAACTAAAATTGGTGATAGTGTCAATGCTAGTGCTTCTAGAAATGATCAAGCTAAAGTTGGTGGACGAGGCAGTGCTAGTTCTATTGAAAAGGGTGAAGCCAAAATAAGTGGAAATGGTCAAGCTAATGATGGTGGAAGTGTTGGTGCTAGTGCTATCGACAAAGGTAAAGCTAATATTGGTGGAAGTGATTGTACTAGTGCTTCTGGCAATGGTCAAGCTAAGGTTGGTGGTGTGGTAGCGCTAATACTAGTGCTACTGGTAAGGGTGAAGCTAAAACTAGAGGAAGTGGCGACGTCAGTGCTTCCAATAGCAGTCAAGGTAATGTTAGCGCTACTGGTAAGTGTGAAGCTAAAACTAGAGGAAGTGGCGACGTCAGTTCTTCCAATAACAGTCAAGGTAATGTTGGTGTACGTGACAATATCAATGCCTCTGATAATGGTCAAGCTAATGTTGGTGGAAATGGTGGTGCTAGTGCCATCGACAAGAGTAAAGCTAATATTGGTGTAAGTAGTGGTGCTAGTGCTTCTGGCAATGGTCAAGATAATGCTAGTGCTCATTGCAATGCTAGTACTACTGGTAATGGTGAAGCTAAAACTGGCGCAAATGGAAACATTAGTGCTTCTGGTAATGGTAGGGGTGTTCAAATTTTCGAACCAATTCGGTTAACCGACCGAACCGAATTAACAAATATTATACTGGCCTAGAAATATTAACAAAGACTAACCGCTTTACCTCTTTTCCACAACACTAAGAAAATACAATAACATCTGCACCAAGACTCATGGTACTAGTCTTAAATCCGTTGCAATTTCCTCGGTTATAATTTTTTTCTGCCTTTTTGTTTAAGGTATGGGCATGAGATGGCAGGTGGAGTATGGTGTAGTGGAGCATGGGTGAGGCAGCACTACCTTGATTTCTGCCTAAACTGTTTTTTTAATTAAAAATATTAAATTCTAAAATTTTAAAAAAATTCGGTTAATTCGAAAATTAATCGAATTAACCGAAATTTATTCGGTTCAGTTAATACTTTCATAAAAAAGTTCGGTTCGGTTAACGATTAAAGAAAAAAAAAATTCGGTTAATTCAGTTGGGTATTTCGGTTCGGTTCGGTTTTAACCGAATGAACACCCCTAGGTAATGGTCACACTAATGTTGATGGAAGTGGTGGTGCTAGTGCCACTGGCAAAGGTGAAGTTAATATTGGTGGAAGTGGTGGTGTTAGTCCTTCTGGCAATGGTCAAGCTAATGTTAGTGGACATGGTGATGCTAGTATTATTGGTACTGGTGAAGCAAAAACTGGAGGAAATGACGATGTTAGTGCTTCTGATAGTAGTTAAGTTAATGTTGGTGAAAATAGTGGTGCTAGTGCCATCGGTAAGGTTGAAGCTAATATTAGTAAAAGTGGTGGTGGCAGTGGTCAAGTTAATGTTAGTAGAAACGGGGCACTAGTACTACTATACTGGTCAAGCTAATTTTGGTTTTAGAAGGAAATTGGGAGGAGGATTCGGCAATGGAGGAGGATTTGGTCGTGGCAATTAAAGCACGTTATCAATGGGAACAAATTAATCATAAAATCTTGTTACATTCCTTTACAAATAACAGCAGTTGATAGATTGTGTTTCACATTTTTTTTATTGGGGGGAAACGCTAAATAAAAGATTTTATTAGTCTTTCGCAGACCATTTGTGAGAAGTTCACAAGTTGAATTATGAATATTAATATCAGTATTTAGTATCAATCGAATATTATTTATTAATGTAATATCTTAATTTTGTCCATCTCACTTTAAAATGCTCAATTCTCAGATAAAATTAATTTAAAACAAATCGATTGTTTGCGATACTTAATCGTAGCATGCTTACACATCTTAACACATCAAAATTTTTCGAAAATGTTTGTCGGAACAATCAGAAGCATATATTGTTCACTGATATAATAGTCATTTGCTCGGTTTTATACTGAATTCACATATTAACAATAATAAGCATGGTTTGCCTAATATATCAAGTTCATCGATATGATATCAATTTTTATTATATACTTTATCGGACTGTATTATCATACTTATGATCTTATTTAACTCGATAAAAATAATCTTTATTTATAATTTTATTCGATTAAAGAATTTTTTAATTCTTATGATTTTATTCGACTCGAAAAAATAATATTTGCTTAGATAGAGACAATCATGATTTGTACAAAAAATTGAAGTAAATTAATTGAAAAAAAGAAAAATCAAGAGGAGAAATTTGGAGAATGGTAAATCTAAGGGCCTAATAGTGTATTTAAACAATTTCAATCTAATTAAAACTTCAAAGAAAAGTTGATTTCTTTACCTCTTTCTGCTGGATTCAAAGCTCCCTATAAAAACATCAATTTTTTTTTAAAATTTTTACAGAAGCAAACATTTTTAATTTCTTCCTCAGTCGTCGCTTGCTCGTTGGGGTTAATATCAGTATCGCCGACGATTCACTTTTACCGAAAAAAATACACAGAGTAACAATTTAGCCCCTTTTTCCCCTTCTTTTGTTATTGAAGAATCCCGACAAAAGTTTGTTATTTTTTTTTTAAAATTTTGGGGCAAGAATAGTAATGGCGGCGGTAGCGGCGACGATGGTCAGCTCGGCTGGAGGCTTACTGGCGATGCTTAACGAGAGCAATCCTCAGTTGAAGTTACATGCTCTCTCTAATCTAATTGGGTTCGTTGATCAATTTTGGCCAGAGATCTCCACCATAGTTCCTATAATGTAAGCTTTAATTTCTTCGTTTTTTTTGTTGTTTTATTTTTCTAGTTAGTCTGGGTTTAGGTTTTATTGTTTGTTTGATTTGGTGGGTGGGAACTTTGAATGGAACAAAGTGAAGAAAGATAATTTCGATGTTTTGGTTTAGCTTTTGTAGAGAAAAATGAGAGTTTAGTTTAAATTTAGTTAATTAAGGGTGTGAATTTGGAATTTTGGTATGCTTGAGCCGTTTCACTTGTTTGAGGAGATTTGGGAATGTTTCGAATTTTTGGTTTCTCAAATTAGGGTTTAGCTGCTAAAGGGTGAAATTTAAGATTCAACTAAATTGTAGCAGTTTTTATGGGTATATGTTATTGTTTGCAATTTGCATTAGTCAAGTTATATGTTTTGCAAAAGATTTATAATTTTCAGGTTAGGAAGAATTAAAAGAAATTATCTTGTTAGAAAAAATATATTATTCTGTAATGTGTGTGCTATGGTGACTTCTGAAATTTTCCTGTAAACTAAGTGCTGTTTTAATGTGTTTTTTGAGCTGTGGAGGAACTAGGAAGGGGAAGAAAGGTTGGGGATATTTAGGTTTGCCTTCATTCATCCGCTTTACAAAAATTACGCTTAGATAGTACCTAATTATGTGGCATGTAATTGGAGTGATTATAATGAGTTTTGGATGTGAGAACTGATATTATGCTTTTGTTTTTCAGAGAAAGCCTTTATGAAGATGAAGAATTTGGCCAGAATCAGAGACAACTTGCTGCGCTCCTTGTCTCAAAGGTCCTGTCTTTTCCCTCTCAGTCTGTATGTATATGTTTGTCCATGTTAGTATAGAGCTGTTAAGGCGTGCATTGTGTTGTGCCTCTATGACTAGGTGCTTTTTGTTTTGTTAAGGCCAATATGTGCAAAAAAAAAGGTAGTCTTATTGAAGCTCTCTTCGATTTATCTATTTTTTTAATGGTTTCATTTACTATCTTTACTACTAATGATGAGAATAATATCAAATTATCAACTTCAGTTCCGAGTATTCAACAATAGACATGGGATCAATCTTGTTGGCATTTTACCAGTATCGGTTTTAAAGATTAAACGAAATGGCACCGGTATCATACCATTGGCTTTTGTAATGGTCCATAGTTGTATTGGCCTGTACCAGAATTACCAGTTTGTATTGGTTAATTCTTGTCAGTGTTGATACTTGCATGTTATAAGATTTTGGTTTCTTATTTAAAAAATCACTAATTTTATACATTTACTGACTATATCTATCTATACAATCTTATGTAAAATTATAAAATTCATTGGACGGTATCATGTCAGAGCAAAGCTGTCGTTTGATTTGGGGAATGTTGTTTGTATTGCATTTACAGTTTATACATGAGAAGTGATAAAAGTAGTGGCCTTCATTCTAATTGAACTTCATTTTACTTTGTTGTCTTTTAGTTATTTGGGTTAAATTGTTCTTTTCACCAGGTCTTCTTTTACTTGGGTGAACTCAATGATTCATTGTCTTATGCTCTTGGCGCTGGCCCGCTTTTTGATATTTCAGAGGATTCCGATTATGTTCATACTCTCCTAGGTAAGAACTTTGTTTAATCTGATACATCTCATGATCGTAATAACAGTTTAGTTAATTGAAATCCATTAGTATGTTTGTTATGATTTTATTTTGCTGCACCTGAGGGTTAAGGAAAGCCTAAATGTTTGCTTGTTGATTATATTATATTTCTTTTGTTTTGAATTTTTATTCCAAGAAAATGACTAATTATGCTCTTGATTTCAGCCAAGGCAAATCGATGAATATGCTAGCTTTCGGTCGAAGGCAGCTGAATCAAGTGATGAAGCAGCAAAGGTTGATACTAGATTGGAGAAGATTGTGGAGAGAATGCTGGAAAAGTATGTAGAT